TGGGGTATAGTTATTTAACTGCCTTCTAGTTTACCTCAATTGACCTCTCATTGGAGGAAGGATGGAACACAATGACCAGAAGAATGTTGAGAGATGAGGAAAGAGAAAATGGGGTGGAAAGAACACAAAATAGGAAAGCTTTGACATTGTTGCGTCTTGGCTGTTTCTTCCTGTAAAATCTTGCCTGGGGTGCCCTCCATTGGGGTCCCCATCCTGTACCCTGGCAACATCTTAGAGGATCACTCCCCTTTCCCTTTTCGTTTTGCAGAACTTACCCACTGGGGCTGTCTCAGACCTGTCTGGTCCTTGGGGATCTGTGGCCATGATAATCACTCTTCCTGGGCTTGACCCTCTTCTCATTAACCAGGACACCTGTGTTCTTAAGGTTGGCTGTGTCCAAGGACAGAGGGCTTGCATCCCCAGTTTCTTGTAGGTGCCAAGGACTCCATTCTTGACATCGTCTTGTCAGCCTTAGAGTACTGAAACCCAGCATTCCTGCCTTAGGTCATTCTGTCTCTCTTCCAGACATGAGTACCTCTTAAAATTATTTTTAAAATTTTTTGCTTGTATAAATTTAGAAGGTACAAGTGCAGTTTTGTTACATAGATATGTTGTGTAGTGGTAGAGACTGTACTTTTGGTATATCCATCACCCAGATAGGGTACCTAATAGCCATGAAGTGATTTTTTTATCCTTCACCCCTCACTACCCATCCAAGAAGGATGACTATTATTCAACAGTCATCATTCAATAGTCATTGGAGCATGACTGTTATTCCACACTCTATGTCTATGTGTATTGTATAGCTCCCATTTACAAGTAGGAATATGCAGTATTTGACTTTCTGTTTTTGAGTTATTTCTCTTAAGATAGTGGCCTTGGATTCCATCCATGTTGCTGTAAAATATATGATTTCAGATTGGGCGTGGTGGCTCATGCCTGTAATTAGCACCTTGGGAGGCTGAGGAAGGAAGATCATTTGAGCCTGGGAGTTTGGAACCAGCCTGAGCAACTTGGTGAGATCCTGGCTCTACAAAAAACAAAATTAGCCATGCATCGTGTTGTGTACCTGTAGCCCCAGTTACTTGAGAGGCTGAGGCAGGAGGAGCTCTTGAGCCCAGCAGTTCAAGGCTGCTGCGAGCTTTGATCACACAACCACACTCCAGTGTGGATGACAGAGTGAGACCCTGTTTTAGTCAGGAGTTCAAGACCAGCCTGACCAACATTAGCTGGGCATGATGGTGGGTGCCCGTAGTCCCAGCTACTTGGGAGGCTGAGGTGGAAGAATCACTTGAACCTGGGAGGTGGAGATTGCAGTAGATGGTGCCACTGCACTCCAGCCTGGGCAACAGAATGAGACTCTGTCTCAAAATAAATAAATAAATAAAATAACAGGGCTTATTCTTTTTTATGGCTGAGTAGTATTGTGTGTATGTATATACGGCTATATATACACATACACATACATGTGTATGTGTATGTATATATAGTGGTGTATGTGCATATATACACACAATGATATGTATATTAATATATATGTATATATATATCACATTTGCTTTATCCAATCATCCATTGATTGATGCTTCAGTTGATTCCATATCTTTGCTATTCTGCTGTGATAAACATATGAGTGCAAGCGTCTTTTATATAATAATTTCTTTTCCTTTGGATAGCTACCCAAAATTCAAGTAAAAGATCTCAGTCTACAAGGCAGCTCCCAAGCTTCAAAAAATTGCCCTGCCAGATTTTTAAAATCAAGTTTTCTCAAAAGCCTCAACATATACATTGGTCGATTTATTTATGCATTAAAGCATTTATTGAATACTTCTTACTATGTATGGTGGTAGTGGTGGTGGTGATGCTGAGGTGTCCCACAGTGAATGCAACAGGCATGGTCCCTGCTATTACCAAAATTATTGTCTGGTAAAGAATGCAGACAGCTAACCAGCCAGGTGCCTGCACAGTGAGATATGTGCTCTGATGGCTGTAACTGCATGGTGTGAGTGTAGAGCTGGGTGCTTAATGCAAGGCATCATGAAGGCTTCCAGGACTAAATGGTGTCAAAATCCAACCTTAAGGATGATGGGTTTAACTAAGTAAAGGAGGATGTGGAAAGAAGAGGGAGAGTGTTCCAGGGAGAGGAAATAGTATATGCAAAAGCACAAGAGGATTGAAGAACCAAAATCACTTTGGCATGGCTGGAATGAAGTGTGTTTGTGTATTTTCAGGGTAGGGGATGTGGTTAGGGACAAGCTCAGAAAAAAGGAAGTCAGGAACCTTGTCATAAAGGGCTCATCTGTCTCGTGAGAGAGTGTAGATTTTATTCTGAGAGTACAGAGCCTTTTCTTTTTTCTAAGCATTACATGATTAGATTTGTCATTTAGAAACCCCTCTGGCTGCCGTTAAAAGTGAATTTCACAGTGACAAGGCTGGAGGAAGGATCTTGGTTTAGGAGGTGGTGGTAGTAATCTAGGCAGGACTCGAGGATGCCTGAGTGAGAGTGAGGAAGGAGAGAGGTGGATGGAAGATTCAAGAGACATTTAGGGGGTGTTATTGAGAGAACTTAGTGATTGATTTGGTGTGGGAGGAATGAGAGAGTCGGGGATGGTTCCCTGGTTGCTGGCTTGGGTACTAGGTGGGCTGGTGGTGCTTTTGACAGAGATGGAACCATGGGAGGAGGAACATGTTTTGAGGGAAGTCTGAGTCTCCTTTTTAGACACCTAGTTGGTGTCCAAATGGCATAGACAAGTTGGCTGCAGATATCTTGGGGCTTAGGGCATGGAGCTGGGCTCAGGGTGGAGATTTGAGCTTCAGCTATACATCAGTAGTCATTGTAGTCATGGTGTGTGCTGGGGTTTTGCCAAGAGCTCATGTAGATTCAGGCGAGAAGAAAGGAGGGGCCCAGGCTGGGGATGCTGGCTTTGGAAATACTCTTGAAATATATAGAAATGAAAGAATATATAAGGCTATTTCCACAGACATTTATTTTTTATCTTTTTTGAGATGGAGTTTCACCCTTATTGCCCAGGCTGGGGTGCAATGGTGTGATCTTGCCTCACTGCAACCTATGCCTCCCAGGTTGAAGCGATTCCCCTGCGTCAGCCTCCTGAGTGGTTGGGATTACAGGCGTCCACCATCATGCCCAGCTAATTTTTTATATTTTTAGTAGAGACGGGGTTTCATCATGTTGGCCAGGCTGGTCTCAAACACCTGACCTCAGGTGATCTGCCCGCCTCAGCCTCCCAAAGTGTTGGAATTACAGGTGTGAGCCACAGACATTTATTGAGCAAGAGCTTGAGCAAGGCACTCTGGTATGCATGCAGTGGAGGACCCTCTGATGCATGGAACTCAGGCCTTGTATAAGGAAGTGACCCCCATCAGGGAGCGGAGACACTGTCAGTGAACATCCATCACAGACAAGCAACTGAGCTAGGTGCTGGGGCAAGGTAGAAAAAGGAAGCAGTGGGCTATATGAGCTGAGAAATGCATTTCTGTTGGGGACTGGGGAAGGCTTCCTGGAGGAGGTGATTTTTTTTTTCTTCCCCATATCTAGTGTTTAGGGAGATGTTTTGCCAGATGGAGCTGGAGTTTTGGAGACGGGGAAGGGCAGACTGGTTTGAGATGCTGCACAAGGGATGGCTCAGAAGAGAAAAGCGTAAGATGTTTTCAGAACAAGTTAGTTCTTCATCATGGCAGGAATCTAGGTGGCTGGAAGGACATTTGTGGGAAATTGTAGTGGAAAATAGGAGGACTTTGATGCCATACTGCAGTGTTTGAGGTCCTTTGTGGAGGCTCAGGGGATTTATTGTACAATTAGAAGCTAAAGGCTGATGTGGCCTCCACAGCATACTGGCTAAATGCATGAACTCTTTAACCAGAGGGACCTGGGCTTAACTTTAGAATCTGCTGTTTTCTTGCTGTGTGATCTTGGGCAGATTATTAACCTCTCTGAGCCTCAGTTTTCTCATCTGTCAGATAGGAGTGAAATACCTCATAGAGGGTTGTGACGAGTGAAGTAAACTAATGTAGAGAAAGCATTCTGTAGTATCTGGAATTAAGCGACTCCTCAGTACATGTTAACATACTAATACTTTCTACGAAATCATACCTGTAACAACACAGAGATGATGGTATCTTCTTCACAGCTTATTCAATTCTGTGTCCTCAGCACCTAGGATAGTACCTGGCATGTATTGGATGCTGGAGAAATATTTCTTGGGCAAGAAATGAATTGCACCAGTTTCTTTTTGTAAGGGATCTATTTTTTTTTTTTTTTTTTTGCTTATCTGGAAAAATACTTTGATGAAACCTTAGGAGAAGATGAAATTCCCTTTCTTCTAGAGCCCAGATTTCAAAGAGGAGAGGTCGAGTGCTCTGCAAAGTAGAAGGAGAAGATTTTGGGCAGTGAAGAGGAGAGAACTGATGAGGTGGTGGGGCACATTGTGCTGTGAAATGTGACTCTTACCCCGGGACCCCTGAAAAAATCTTCTGTAACATTTTGTATGTATAAAACTTCTCTCTACCATCTGCTATGGTCAAAATGGGATTTGGAGAGCTCATGTGATTCTCAGACCTCCTAGTAACCCTGCTTACATGGAGAGACAGCTGTCTCCCAGCCAGCTGCTGTCTTTTGGATGTGGGAAGCTTTCATCTGGGGGAAGATAACACCTTAAGAAAAGATGTCAGGATTGGAGGGAGATGTTGATGGGTCACTGTTTCTAATGCCCTGAAGCAGCCACACTTTGTATGGATGGGCAGGCGCACAAGGTGAGTTATTTTTTTCCCCACCTAGAAATTTATAGAGGCCTGACATGGTGGCTCACACCTGCAATCCCAGCACTTTGGGAGGCCGAGGTGGGCAGATCACTTGAGCCCAGGAGTTAGAGACCAGCCTGGGCAACATGGTGAAACCCTGTCTCTACCAAAAACAAAAAATTTAGCCAGGTATGTGGGTGTGCACCTGTAGTCTCAGCTACTCAGGAGGCCGAGGTGGGAGGATTACTTGACTCCAGGAGGTCGAGGCTGCAGTGAACCATGTTCATGCCACTGCACTCCAGCCTGGGTGAGAGAGTGAGACCCTGTCTTGAAAAAATATGAAGCTGCTCTTTTGAAGAGCATTCTAATGACTTACCCGCAGATTCTAGGAAAGCAGTTAAATTCTGCTTTTAATGTCTCTCTTTCTAGATTTCTCCCTTCTATCGTTATTGTTGTTGTGTCCTCAAACAAAAACATTTAGTACTTATTGTGAGCTTCATAGGGTTGTTGTGAATTAATGCTTGTAAAGCTCTTAGTGCGATACCTGACACATAGACGGCATTTAATATTATTATCATTATTGTTGGGTAGCACTCAGTTCATGAAATTCCCACACACAGTCAAGTGGTAAATGCTATTGCTTTGTAAGTATCATCGATGAGGAACCTGAAGCTCACAGAGGTTGATGACTTGCCTAGGATCGCTCAGAAAGCAGGCAGCAGAGCTAATTGCCATGGTAACCATTTCCAAGCTTCAGTGCCCAGAGATGGACCCAGTCTGGCATTGGCTCGTCCCCTGAAGCACTGTGAGTGTCTTGACAGATAAGTAAAGGAAGTCACTAATTTCTGAATAATGCCCAGGTGTGGTTGGCATTGTTAGGGGTCAGTGAAGACACTCTCAAAGACCTTACTGCTTAGCTTTTTTATCTTTCACCTTTAATGCTCCTGTTAACCCCAGGAACTAACCAAAGGGGAGTTTTCTTTATCAGCTCCAAGAGAGATGCCATGGTTGTCCCAAGGTTCTGGAGCTAAAGGTGGGACCAGGACCAGACTTCAGTTTCTGTGTTTTCAAATTCAATTCTATTCTCCTCTCAGTAGACCAGGAGGCCTCCAGACAAGACAGATGGCAGACAGCTACAGTAGTTTAAAATAGCCTGAGCTCACTTCTGAGGTAGACATGTGCGTGGAGTGAGCTGGAAGACAGGGACCCCTGTGTGGGAAAGCATTCTGGCAAACAGAAGCCCAGTGGGGAGTTCTGATGCTAGGATGAGTGTCATCAGGTTGGGGTGAGGGTGTGAGAAGAGACCTGAGCTGTTGCCAACCTGAGACTGAATCGGGAGGAGAGAAGAGAGAGGACAGGTGCCAGGCAAGATGCAGCACTGCCAGGAGGTAGAGGCTTCCTCCCTCCTTTCCAGCTGTGCTTCGAGAGGGGGAGGTCAGCAAACAGGCTCCAAGGTGTGGTCCCTAGCACCTGTGCTGGAACAATGCGACCCAACATTCCTTCCCATCCTTGATTGAACCAGGGATGGCTCCACTTGATCCTCTTTCTGGGGGCTGGGAGGGCTGGTGCCTTTTACTTCCCAGCTTTCTAGTCTGCTGGGTCTTGGAGTCCAGTGCAAAATAATGAAGTTCCTATAAAGACAGTTTGTATAGATCCTTTTAGGGTGACTTCAAAGCCTGTGCATTTCCTTAACAATGATCAATTCTTGGCTAATCCTGTTTCATCCATATCTGCACCCAATTCTCTTCACTCCATCTTCATACTGGGTATTTTCAGGTAAATCCCAGACACCATACAATTTCACTAATGGATCAATCTTAACATCACAAAAAGTCAAATAGACATTATACATCTTCTGATATGATGCAAATAGAAGTAGCCAACACTACCTGTACAATATTATTACTAAAGATCTAACTCCAAATTTACAGGAAATACAGAGAATATGTAGGAAATTCTGTGTAGAAATGAGTTGGTTTCTTCAGCAAACCATGGCCTGGAAGTGTGAAAAAAGAGAATTAAGAGATATAGTAATCTAAGACAATGTGTGGACCCCATCTGGAAATCAATTCAATCAAATCATCTGTAAAGAAAACATTGAGAGATAATCAAAGAGAAGAAAATATTACCTAAAATATAAAATGATAATAAAGAATTATTATTGCTTTCATTGGGTGGGATAATGGAATTGTGGTTGCTTTTTTGTTGCTCTTATCTGTAGAGATATGCTGAAGAATTTATGGGTAAAATAAAACTAAGTGATACTAGGTAGGGAGGAACCTATCCATTTCCTACTTTTTGGCAAACAGGCTCCAAGGTGTGGTCCCTAGCACCTGTGCTGGAACAATGCGACCCAGCATTCCTTCCCATCCTTGATTGAACCAGGGATGGCTCCACTTGATCCTCTCTCTGGGGACTGGGACTTAGCATTCAGAAATGCCAGCTAGCTTCCATCGACAGCAGACTGGAAGGATCAGGCATCTTAGGAACCATGTGTTGGGCATCAAAAAATTGAGAAAGCTTATCTTTAGAGAGACAGACAAGTGAAGCTGGCTCAGAGGTTATGTGGACCAAAGGGCTGGGGGAAGCGGTTGCCTTGGTTCCTGACAATCCTGCATTAAAGTCAAACTGCTGTTTCTTTCCCTAGTTTCTGTTTCCTTGTAACAGACTTACTCCTTTGCTTGAACTGGGGGTTTTAGTGGGGTTCTGTTGCTTGCAAATCTTATGTACTTTGGGAAACAGCTAAGGAGATGAAGATGGAAAACTTGGTCATGAAGGGAATGGGTTATTGGAATCTTTCTGGAGGGAGAATTATGAGGATTATGAGGATGCAATCCTGATTGAAGGGGGTCTTGTAGATATATGGGATTTGGAAGTGAGACCAAATGCTGTAGCAGATGCTATTAGCTACCCATTCAATGGCCATTCCTTGTTTCTAGTTTTGTTTTGTAACAATGTGCTCAGGGGACACAGCATGCATGATCCATGGTAATCCATGATGATTTTCCTTTCAGTGATTGGTCTAGAAGTGGGCATTGGGCCCAGCTTGGGTCATGTAAGAAAGGAAAATTCTTTCTTTCCGCCTTTCTTCCTGCTCTGGAGGCTGTTAGGTGAGGGCATAATGGTTGGAGCTATGGCAGTCGCATTATGACTATGACCAGATGCCTAGATTTGCAGCAACACTGACTGAGAGCACTGTCATTCCTGAGTCACTCATACCTCCTTCTTTCAGAGTTTATTATTTTTGGGATGGTATTTATTGACGAGCCCCTCTTGGTTAAGTTGCATATGTTGGCTGTTCTGTTAATTCAAGCCAGAAGATTCTTAACTGATACAGTTAAGCCTCATAATTTGGAGGTTTGGGAGGAAAATGAGGTGAAAGAGTATGCATGGTTGGGGATGATAATATTTTAAATCAGAAAATTAACATTTTCTGGCCGGGCGCAGTGGCTCAAGCCTGTAATCCCAGCACTTTGGGAGGCCGAGGCGGGTGGATCACAAGGTCAAGAGATCGAGACCATCCTGGTCAACATGGTGAAACCCCGTCTCTACTAAAAATACAAAAAATTAGCTGGGCATGGTGGTGCGTGCCTGTAATCCCAGCTACTCAGGAGGCTGAGGCAGGAGAATTGCCTGAACCCAGGGGGCGGAGGTTGCGGTGAGCCGAGATCGTGCCATTGCACTCCAGCCTGGGTAACATGAGTGAAACTCCGTCTCAAAAAAAAGAAAATTAACATTTTCTACCAGAAAACCATCAATTATGAACCATCAATTATGATATTATAGCCTGGTTTGCAAAGCCTTTTGAGAGTTGTGTGAGCCAATATCCATCCATCCATGCATCCATGGATTCACCCATGCATTCATCCATCCATCCATCCATAATTTTCTGTTTGTCAATTATCTATCCATCCATCCACCCACCCACCCACCCATCCACCCACTCACCCACCTCATCCATCCACCCACCCACCCATCCACCCACTCACCCACCTCATCCATCTATCCATTCATCCATCCATCCATCCATCCTTCTACCCACCCACCCACCCACCTCATCCATCTATCCATCCATCCATCCATCCATCCATCCATCCATCCAACCATCCACCCACCCACGCACTCACCCATTTGACTTCCTTTTTATGGAACTTTTCCTTTGAGCAATGGAGGATTTCCTTCCTGGACTTGCTTGGTTCTGTCTGTTATCATCTGGGTATAAAATGCTTTTCCTCTTCCAATTAGGCCACGTGCAGAGAAGTGATATTAGATAGTTACGGTGAGGAGTGAGTGGGATTCTGCCTGGGCCTCTCTCTAGGGACACTTTGCCTTCGCAGTGTCTGGCATTTTTAAGAAACGTTGATTTTTAGGCATTTGAGGGAAAAAGTTGTTGTTGTTAGTTTTTTTTTGGACATGAAAAGCACGAATTTCCCCTTATTTTACTCCCTGGAGCTTCTTCCAACATACTCAAGCACTATCAGCTTCAGGCATGGCTTTGTGCGCTGGAAAGGGCTGGGGTATGTTTTCAGAGGAATCTTACAGGATTGAATTGGGGGTAATTATTATTTTAATAGGAAGATATTCTTTATTTTTTGATTTTTAGGAATTGCTATTTCTCATGTAGATGTTCTTGTCTTTGTTACATTGCTACGTTCCATAAAATATTTTCAGCGTATAGAATTTTTATGTATCTAGTCCATTGTCTGTTTCAGGTTAGGAATGGTCAGTGTTTATATGTGCACCGAATCCCTTGTAGTCTGTTTGTTCCTGGGATGGTGCTGATGGGGGTACTAGAGGGTGGAATTTGCGCACATGGGAAAGGAGATGGTGCATGTCAGTGTTTTCCAATTGAGGCCCTTGGGGTTGTGGGCGGGGAGGAAAGAGGAGGAGGAGGAAACCAGTGTGGTGGGAGTGTGATCCACATTCTCAGGAAGAACCATATTTGATGTCATTTAGAAAACAGAATTCTTACTTGTTGAGCAAAGTTGGCTTTTCTTCTCTGAACCTGGCCTTTGCAAGTGCTTGAGTCTTTGAGTGTGGTGATGCCTGAGGGAGAGGAGGGATTTGCTTGGGGCAGCAGGCACGTCTGGAACACCAGCCACAAACCTGGCTAAGCATAGAGCCACTTGGACAATGGGCTTCATAGGTACAGACTGGGAACTTCCCCTCAGACCTGTCAACTCAGGAGATTGTCACCAGTGGCTGCACCTCGGAGTGATCTGGGGATCTTTTAAATGCCCCAGTGCCTTGGCTCTAACTCAAGTCAGTGAAAGCAGGCTGTCTGGGAGTAGGATCAGAGCAGCAGTGTTCATTAAAGGCTCTCCAGGTGACTGTCATCAGCATTCAGGTTTGAGAGCCACTGGGAGAGATAATCTGTATTTTGTATAAAGCTGGAAGCAGTCAGTTTTCTGAACATTATTGATTAGATCATAGCCATTTTCCAGTATAGACAAAGTAGGTTCTCTCCTCCCATCCCCTTACTGCAGTAAACTTCTCAGTAATGAGTGTGCTTTGAGAAACATCAAACTGCAGAGACTCAAAGGGGCATAAAATTAAAATTAAATCACACCAGCTTTGGGCATATATATCCCTCCTCCATCCCCAAAATCTCTTTAAAAATAGTGTTTTAAATGTATTTTTTTGGTAGTGTGTTCACAGGATTCAAAAAAAAGCAAAATGCTGCACTACTCACAAAAACAAATATATGGAATCAACCCAGGTGCCTGTCAGTGGCAGATTGGATAAAGAAAATGTGGCATACATACACCATGGAATGCCATGCAGTCATAAAAAAGGAATGAAATCATATCCTTTGCAGCAACATGGATGGAGCTGAGGACATTATCCTAAGCAAATCAGAGCAAGAACATAAAACCAAATGCTGCATATTCTCACTTATAAGGGGGAGGTCAGCATTGAGCACACATGGACATATGTATGAGACTGGACACTGGACTACTAGAAGGTAGAGGAAGGGGTGTGTTAACTACCTATTGAGTACTGTGCTCACTGCCTTAGTGACAGGATCTGTACTACAAACCTCAGCATTGCGCAGTATTCCCATGTAACAAATCTGCGTATGTACCCACTGTATCTAAAATGAAAGTTGGAATTTAAAAAAAAACATATAGTTTTAAAGTCTCTTATTTTCTCTCTCGCTCTCTCTCTCTCTCTCTTTTTTTTTTTTTGAGATGGAGTTTTGCTCTTGTTGCCCAGGCTGGAGTGCGATGGTGCAATCTCGGCTCACTGCAACCTCTGCCTCCCCGGCTGAAGTGATTCTCCTGCCTCAGCCTCCCAAGTAGCTGGGATTACAGGCATGTGCCACCATGCCTGGCTCATTTTGTATTTTTTAGTAGAGATGGGGTTTCTCCATATCAGTCAAGCTGATCTCGAACTCCCTACCTCAGGAGATCCATCGGCCTCGGCCTCCCGAAGTGCTGTGATTATAGACGTGAGCCACCGGCCTAAAGTCTCTTATTCTTGTCTGTTCGCCATCCACCCACTTCCCAACCTCTTCCCTGGATATCCTTCCAGAAGCCTTTTCCTTCACTCCCTTTGTTGTCACACAAAAGATGACATATTGCAACCCCTATTCTCCACCTTGTTTTCTTTTTCTGCTAATATTTGGCTGGTAAGCACCAGCATGGTGTAGTGACTGGCATTTGTTCTAGTTTGTTGAGTATCCTCACTGACTGACAGAAGCTCACATGGTGCTGCCAATCTTTAGATATTTGAATTACTTCCCTTGTCCACTTCACATCTTGAAGATCTCTCTATAGCAATACAAAGACAGCTTCCTTATACTACTAATAAATATATATATTTTACATCTATTTTATATATATTTATATATATAATGTATTTGAGATAGGGTCACCCATGTTGGAGTGCATTGGTGAGATCTCAGCTTACTACAACCTCTGCCTCCCAGGCGCAAGTGATCCTCCCACCTCAGCTTCCTGAGTAGGTGAGTTCACAGGTGTGCACCACCACACCTGGCTTAAAAAGTTTTTTTTTTTTTAATTTTTGGTAGAAACAGAGTTTCGCCATGTTGCCCAGGCTGGTCTCGAACTCCTGAGCTCAAGCGATCCACCTGCCTTGGCCTCCCAAAGTGCTGGGATTACAGGTGTGAGCCTGGCTAAAGTATTCATTTTTTAATAGATGTAAATTATGGCTAATTCATAATTTATTAAACAAGTCCTCTAGGGATGGACTTTAGGTGATTTCCAATTTGGGGCCATTACAACAGTGTCATTAAGAATAGTGTGGCAAATGCATCACTTCAGATGTGTAGAAATCCATCTGTAGAATTCCTGTAAGTGCTATTTCTTGGTCAAGGGGCATGTGCTAGAGTCTCTTTAGCAACAGGAAATTTCGCGAAGGCATCACAGTTTCCAGTTTGCTGCAGCAGGCAGTTCTGCTTCTGAAATTGTAGTAGACACAGGGTTTTCTTTTCTTTTTTTCTGTTGGTGGCTTTGAGGAACTGTCAGATGAGATAGCTGAAAAATGTACATCTAATGGTTTTAGAGG